GCGACACAGGTACAAAAGCAAGAGACATATTCTTAGAGTGCTATGAAATGCAGCCATGAATCTGACCTCATCTGAAGGCTGGAATAAAAGGTGAGGAAGAGGAATGAATCCACATGGAGCAGGTGGAGGTGGGGGCGTGTGCTGTGATTAGAGGCATCAGAGTTAAGGCAATGGAGACCAGCCGGCATGACTGCAGGCTGGAGAGTGAGCAGAACTAGACTGGCCCACATGATGCAGAACCTGTAGGACAGGGTAGTTGCTGAATGATCTTCACTCAACGTGTTAGCTAAAGCGTATGGTGTCTTTCCTGCCATTATTTTAAAAGTTTAATGAGATATTAATACTCAGATTGCTCAGATCGCATTTTGAAGCTAGCCTGGGCGGAAAAGTCTATGAGACTCTTATCTCTGACTAACAACCACCACCACCACCACCCCCTGCCCCCCAAAGCCAGAAGTAGAACTGTGGCTCAAATGTTAGAGTGACAGCCTTAACGGACAAGCTCTCACACAGCCAGAGTTCAAGCCCTAGGACTGACACAAAGAATAGCAATGAGAAGAAACAAGAAGAAGGAGAAGGAGAAGCTAAATACGGTAAAATGTAGAAAAGTCACAAGATGCCTGGCACACGGTGAGCGTTCGGTCTGGGAGGGAGCAAGCAGTAAGGCAAGGCTGCCATTCCGTGGCTTTGTACAGGAAACAGAACCCTGGAGAGATGAAGATGAGCAGAGGTTCTTGTTCAGAGGTTTGGGGGCCTGAGTAACTGTGGACCTTGCACTACCACATGGACTTTGAAGTGCACAGGGGCCCCTGGGAGAGGAGGTTGTGTGGCGCACACATTGTTTCAGTCATTTGTTTGGATCCCTCCTTCCCTCCCTTCTTTTTTTCTCTTTTATTCCCTCCTTCTTTCCCTTTGCTTCTTTCTGTCTTTCTTCTTTTCTCTTAGTAGGTAGCCCATCCTGGCCTCAAACTTGTTATTTTTGCCTCAGCCTCCCATCTGCTAGAATTATGGGGTGGCGTGGACTGCTGATGGACATGCATTACTATGTCTTCTTATTTGTTGTTGTTGTTTTCTTTTTGCTGGTCCTGGGGCTTGAACTCAGGGGCTGGATTTGTCCCTGAGCCTCTTGGTGCTCAAAGCTAGCTAGCTAGCACTCTACCACTTGAACCACAGTACCACTTCTGGCTTTTTTCAGTAGTTTATTGGAGATAAAAGTCTCACGAGCTTTCCTGCGCAGGCTAGCTTCTAACTGTGATCCTCAGATCTCAGCCTACCAAGTAGCTAGGACTACAGGCGTGAGCCACCAGCTGCTGGCTCAATGCTCGCTTTTATTGAGTAGTTTGTTGGTGATTAGAGTCTGTCTCATGGCCTTTCCTAAAGCCTGAGTTGGCTTCGAATTGTGATCCTCACATCTCAGCCTCCTGAGTAGCTAGGATTACAGGTGTGAGCCACCGGTGCCCAGCTGTGAGACTCTTATCTCCAATAAAATACTCAGAAAAAGCCAGAAGTGGTGCTGTGGCTCAAGTGGTAGAGAACTAGGCCTGAGTTCCAGGACTGGCAGAAGAAAAATGTGTGGGTATAACTGATGAGGAAAATATCTGTTTTTTTTTTTTTTTTTTTACAGTTTCTATAGTATTCTTACAACTGTGATTATGCATGCAATATGGATTCTTTGTTTTTCTTCTGCAACAATCAGGTCGTATTAGACACAGGTTTTACACTTCCTCCTCACAGTTTAGAGTCGAATCCATTTTTCATTGATATGGGATTAATGACCTATTGATGCCAGCTTGTTGCTCACATCCTGTACCATTTACAAAGTTGGTTCTAACATCCACCCTTGCATGGAAGTGACTGAAGAATCCATGTGTAGAAGGAAGAAACCTCGGTTAGATACAGTGCATATTTGGCATTGCCAAATTCTTTTCAAATAATTGTCCCACATGAGGCTTTTGACCAATTCTTTGTAAACCACATTAATGATGCACATGTTCACAATACTGTTTTTTTTTTTCCAGTGTTGTTGATGTTGTGGTTGGTTTTTCAGCAGTGAGATTGGGAAAGAAAAGAGGTGACCCCTCTGTGTAGATGAAGGGATAGAGGTGAAAGAAGAAGAAGATGTGTGTGAGGTGAGAGAAGATAGGATTTGAGTTTAGATGGGAAACTAAGAGCTTCCAACTCTTCTGTGAGTCATCAGTACCTTCATTCCCCATAACCACATCAACCCATAAACACGCTTGTCCCTCATTTGGCTCAGACTTCCAATCTTTGTCATCTTTGTTCACTCTACCCATGCACGTCTCAGTTTACTGTTGAGGAAACTGAACACCCAAAGGGACTAAATAATTCATTGAGAGTCCCCAAACAACCTAAGTCAGGGCAGTTCCTCCTTTGTCCACCTTGTTCTATAACCCAGTAGATGGGGATTCCAGGCTCAACCAGTGAGCCTAGAGAGTGTTTAGATGTGTAAATTATACCCGTAGTTATATAATCAAGTTCATCATTTCCTATAATCAGAGAAGTTCCATTACTGTCGAGTAGCTGTGATCTTAAATACAGTGGTACTTTCACACCCTCATGACCAGTTCTTCTGGTAAGTTCTTTCTCAGAAACACTCTTGTTTCTTTCTTTCAGAAATACTCTATTTTCTCAAGGAGCACTTGACTTAAGCTACATGAGCTGAATACATTGAGCTTTGGGAGATTTTAAGATTTTCTTATAAAAGATAGTGTAGCCTCTCCTGAATTCTACTTTTAGTCCTCCAAAAGCTTAAAATTGGCCAGTGAATCCCTTCTGGACACACTCTTAGAGGCTGGGATAGGAACTTGCGTCTTCTTCCTCCTTGTTTGCTTCTGTCTCAGAGCCCAGGATCACTGAGATTAGAGATTTCAACTGAGATTTCCTTGCCTTGATCCCTTGCTGGCTGGTGTTAGAGTTGAGAAATTGTTCCATGTAGGTCAGGGGATTTTGCACTTGAAGCAGAGATGTGAGGCTTCAGACTTGCTTTTAAATATGAATTCTGGTGTAATATTTGATGATAGAAGAAAGTCCCAGTGAAGAGGTGATTTCTAAATGGCATAAAAATTGGTGGGATGGTGGTTGAGGAATGATGAAAAGAAAGGAAGAAGAAATGAAAGGTTTTATCAAGAAGTAAAGCTTTCATCTAGAAAAAAAATTGGTCTCTATCCATTACTTTTAATTAAGCCCACGTGTTTCATTGTCCCATTTGGAAAAATTCTGTTGATGGCTCTTCTTTAAGCAAAGCTATGATTATTCTGGAGAATGAGTCATTTAATATATTTGCTCAAAGTCAGGGAAGTGTGAATGCTAAATAATAAAATGAGTCCTGTAATGTTCTAGAAATTAACTTGCCCAAAGTGTAATTTTATAGAAAAGGAAACAAACTCAGTAAGTATGTTTGGTTTTTTGTTGTTGTTGTCCTAGGGCTTGAACTCATGGTCTGGGCACTGTCATTGCGTTTTTTTTTTTGTTTTTTTTTTTTGCTCAAAGCTAGTGCTCTACCACTTGAGCCACTGCTCTACTTCTGGCTTTTTGGTGGCTAGTTGGAGATAAAAGTCTCATAGATTTTCTTCCGTGGGCTGGCTTCAAACCACAGACCTCAGATCTCAGCCTCCTAAAAGCTAGGATTACAGATGTGAGCCGCTGGCAACATATGATTTTTAGTTGCAGTTAATATCAGCTAACACTGTACATAAGCTCTCCTGACTTTTCAGTTTTCATTCACTGATCCAAAAATTGTGTGTGTGTATGTGTGTGTGTGTGTGTTGGGCTTGAAACACAGGATTTTAATCTCTTCCTTGTCTTTTTTGCTCAAGGCTGGTGCTCTACTATTTGAGCCAGTCTACTACTTCCAGGGTTTTGTTGGTTAATGGGAGATAAGAATGTCAGACTTTTCTGCTGTTCTGGATCTTCAGATCTCAGCTTCTGGAGTAGCCAGGGTTACAGATGTGAGCCACTGGCACCAACTAGTGATCCACACTTTGAAAGTTGCTAGGAGAATATGGTTGAGATTTTGTTCATCTATTTTCTCCAAGAGGACTAGGACTTAATTTCAACCGTTCTTAATTAAGAACAGAGGTACAAACACAAGACTAAAATGTTAAAGAAAAGAATTATAAAGAAGATCAAATCAGTTTTATACCTGAAGCTTAGCTGATAGATAAGACATATGAGATGTGAGTTTTTTTTTGTTGTTGTTGGTGGTGGTGGTCGTGGGGCCTGAACTCTGGGCCTGGGCGCTGTCCCTCAGCTCTTCAGCTCAAAGCTAGTGCCCTACCACTTGAGCCACAGAGCCACTTCCAGTTTTTTTCTGCTTCTGTGGTGCTGAGGAATCGAACCTAGGGCCTCATGCATGCAAGGCAAGCACTCTACCACTGAACCACCTTCCCAGCCCTGAGATGTATGAGTTTTGTTTTGTTTTAAAAATTGCCACTGCATTTGCAAGTTGGCCATGAATGAGGGTTAAGCATTTATACTGTCTACTGAAGTCCGGAGACAAACTACACAGTGTTATCTTAGTGAAAGATCAACGGCTTTAAGATGTGTTTCAAATTAACTATATAAATAATCTAACAAGGTCTTTCATTGTGCATTTCTCAAAGCAAACAAATTGCAATGTGTTTTTATAACCACAGTGCGATTTGATTCCTACCCCTCTCTTTCCCACATTTGGATATAGATTGATATAGACTTACTTAAAATGCTGCATATAAATTAAACATTAAGCAGGAGATATGGAGAGACTGGGCTGCCCCATTACAACCTTGAGCTCTTCAGTCACCGCTTCAAGGACACACATTTCCTGTCACATATCCTTCTTTTGAAAAGTGATCACCAAGGTTCAAGTAACAGTTAAGAACAGTAGGCAATTGAATAATTTAGGGACCTTTCTGTTTTGTGTTCTTATTTTAATGAAAAACAGGGAAATAGGCTGTATTCAGACTATAACATCTTTCTTCTCTCCCACCTGGTCTTTGCAGATTGGTGCCTTGAAGGACTACTACCATTTCTACCATAGCAGGACGATTAAAAGGTCAGTTCTCTCGAGCAGAGGGACCCACAGTTTCATTTCCATGGAACCGAAGGTAAGAAGAACCACTGGGCGGGGACCTACGTGCAAAGCCCTCTGCATTGTTTTTTATTGGGATAACACACAGGTCAGCATTAGGCTCACTTTTCTAGATCTGTCTGTCATATGCTTCTCTGGTCCAATATCCATGCCTCTTCTTCAGACAAAAGCATGCTGTGGCATGAATTTTACTGGTATCTGTAGACCAGCCCAGGGTAATGGCAGGTGTGGAGAAAACTGAGGGAATAGGAGACTGGGAAGGTCCAGGTTGATTGAGAATCATTGAAGGACAAATACCATATTACCCAACTTTTCACATAGAGACCTGAAATCCTGTGTGCTCCATAGACAGTCCCATAAGCTGGGTCTCAGGCAACCATGAATCCTTATATCAATAGTCCAGGACTAGGCCAGGGCCTCTAGAACGAGGCAGATACTTGAACCTACAGGGATAGAAAATGACTCCTGCTCTTAGGTATCTTTCCCCAAATAAGTCTTTTTATGTTGTACACACAATATACTCCTGTGGCACAGAGGAATGATGGCAGGCATGGATCTCCTGTTAGCAGAGTAAGGCAGCTAGACATGAGAGATGAAAGCCAAAGGGTGTATGGACAATCGAAGAGGAGACAACCAATGGAGAGTTAGATATCCAGTTCCTAGCAATTAAGTTGTAGGAAGGAACTGACTTCTCATGAGACACTAATTGGCCCCTCAGACAGCGGAGTAAGAAGAAGCAAACTCCAAGACATGGAAACAAGAGGTGTTTTTGTTTTTTTAATGTATTGTGTGCAGTTATTTCTCCCCCCACCCCCCCCTTTGGCTTATGCCCTGTCGTCACTGTTTCTGATTTTGGTACCCTGTGTCTTGTATATATGTTTATCTGATCTGGGGAAGGGAAGGGGAACAACAAAATGGTGAGATGAAGGACCAAGGGTGAACCAAGGCAACAGCGACACTCACAAGACACTGTGTTGGAAGTGAACTTTAGAACTCGGGGAGAAGAGGAGCAGGGAAAGTTAGAGAAAATGAAGGAGTTGGTAACACTGTTCGACAAGAAATGTACTCATTCCTTATGTAACATCACCTTTACAATAAAATTAAATTTAAAAAGAGAAGGAAGAAAGGGCAGCCATACCCAGCTGTTATAGATCCTTTGTGGACTCACAGTGTATAACTCACTGAGGAGGGTATTTTGCTGCTATTCCTCCCCCCACCCCACCGACCATTATTATTTAGGTTTTCCATCAGAGCTCGTTTTCAAATAAATGGGTAAACAAGCCCTTGTCAGCATCATAGTAATCTCAGCTAATGAGTCCTCAAAACTTTTGTATTCCTTATTAAAGCAAAGCAGGGGCTGGGAAGGTGGCTCAGTGGTAGAGTGCTTGCCTTGCATGCATGAGGCCCTAGGTTCCATTCCTCAGCACCACATAAGCAGAAAAAGCCAGAAGTGGTGCTGTGCGCAAGTGGTAGAGAGCTCGCCTTGAACTGAAGAGTTGAGGGACAGCACCCAGGCCCAGAGTTCAGGCCCCAGAACCCACAAACAACAACAACAACAACAACAAACAATAAAGCAAAGGAGTCCCTATCTGAATTACTATGCAAATCAGGTTTCTCCTCTACACTATGCTGTGGTTTACTTTGTTTAATTTTCCTCTAGAATATTATGACAATGGCATGGTTGTGAAATTATATTTTGTTGGTAAGAAAAAGCATATATATGTGTATATATATATATCCCAGTTTTTCTGCGCATCTTATACTTAGTAGTGACATGTAGATTTATTATTTTTTTTATTCATCTCTATTAAAGATTTGTTTTTCTGGGAAAGTAATCTTTTGGGACAATGTAGAATCAGCTACATTTTCAAAGCAAAATCACGTTTTTCAGCTGCTAAACAACTCTCTTGAACTTTGGGAGTTAAAAGGATTCTAATTTCCGAGCTCATGTGCAAAGTCCATGTGATGTACCAGCCAGTTTGGAAAGTTAAGAACAGAACGTAATGAGACTTTGTTTTCTTGATGAAGGATTTACCGAATATGGAGCTATTTCTACCTTTACTGGTATCTTGGGCATCTTTTCATTTCTTCTTATCTCAGTGAAAAGCTTCGTGATCCAACAGAGACCTTGGGTCCAGGGACACATTGTACCTGAAATTACACTCCTCCTTACTCAGTCTGATTCATAGGGCCACTTAGGCCAGCCCAAGGGTACAAGCTCAAATTACCTTTCTTCAATAAGAGAGCAGGGCTATCTTAGTGAGGAGCAATAAAAGGAGCCCTGAGCACAGGGCCAGTCTTTCCCTCAACAAGCCTGTTTGCATAAGAGAACATCTTCCCACCAGCAGATGGAACGCACAGATAGAACTTTGCTCACCATTTCTTTCAGATATTTCTTGTATTCTGTTGATTTCACTGCCCATTACCTGAGTCTCTAGTGTCTTAGCAGACCTTGTGTTTGGCTCTGGGGATTTAGAGACATGGTGATTCTCCAAGTTAGCCTTCTGTTAGAATTTCCAACTACAGCTTTCAGGGAAACTCAGAGCACTGTGGGATTGAGTGAAACAAGAGGAGGTGTGTGTGTGTGTGTGTGTGTGTGTGTGTGTGTGTGTGTGTGTGTGTGTGTGTGTGTGTGTGTGTGTTGGGGGAGGGGTCCTACATTCTTTCTCTGGCTTTTCCTCAAAAACCGTAGGTCTACCTAGCCTGCTTCTTTGAATGCTATATAGGAATTCACACACACCCCAGCACACACACACACGTGTATATAGGCATAGGGGTTCCTACATATGTATAGGATTTCATATACATGAATACAATATGAATAAATATATATGAATTCCTATACAGCATTATAACATTCTCTTCATCTTACACTTCCTTGGTCATTCTTATACAGAGACAGTCATTCTTAACACTTGAGAGTTAATTACAAGCATGCTCCTTCAATTCTGATACTTTACTGTGTATTTATTCAAAAATCAAGGACATTGTAAGAAAGAGTAATATAGATAGGGCAAAGTACATATTGTAACCATCACAATGATGTCTCTTTGTACAATTAATTTATGGTAATATTAAAAAATTGAATATATTTCTAAGCACTCTCTAATAAAGAATTGGCAGCCTACACATAACAAAAATCTGGACATCAATTATTATTAAATCTACAGATTTTATTCACATTTTCTAATGGTGTTTTCTTTGGGCCAAGGTCATATTTACTCTGTCATACTTCCATCAGCTATGAGATGCTACCATTGTAGCTAGTTCCTGTCCTTTGGCTTTGAGTTAGACAGTGTATTTGAAGCTTTGGAAGTGCATATTCTCCTGGAAGAAGCCATAGGTTTGCAGCTTGGATTCCATTTGTGGCAACAAGAAACTCAGGAGATCTTTGATAGGAAAGTTCAGATCACAGCCCAAATCTTTCATAGATAAGACTGAATTAATAAAATGTGAATTAAAAGAAACCCCACCTACATCAGCTCCTTGGGCAAGGCTGCCAGTTCTTTATTAGAGAGTGTTTGGCAGTGCTTCATTTGGAAGGTCGTCAGCTCACCTGCCTACTTTAGGAGTGCAGGTAACAAGAATGAGCCTGGTGGAGAGAGAGAAAACTACTGGGGCAAGTGTAGCGCCCCCTTGCTGCAGGTGAGGAAGCTGCAGAGACTCAGCTGCAGCTGTCTTCAGCTTGGAGAGCTAGCTCCAAGCTACCAATCAAAGGAACCTCCAAGGCTCAGTTTCCCATTTCCTAGAGTGGCGTGTTGGGAACTCCAGTTGCAATGACCAATAATCAAGAACACAAACAACAATAATTGCTGCTAAGGTGCCTGGAAAACAAATACTTCTATATTGTTGGAGGGGATGTAAACTAGTGGTACAAGTAATCAGTAACAAGGTTTCTCAAAAAACTGAAAAATAGAGCTATTATACTATGGACATATATCCAAAGGAATGTAAGTTAGGATACAGTACAGAGACACTTGTTCATTGTAATATTATTCATAACAGCCAAACTATTCAAACAACCCAAATGTCCTACAATCGAGGAATGGATCAAGAAAATGTGATACCTATACACAAGGGGTCTTAGTCATACAGATCAATTAGATTATGTCCTTTGCAGGGAAATGATGAAACTGGAGAACATCAAGTTAAGTAAAGTGAGCCAGAGAAAGACAAAGGGTGAATGTTTTATCTCATACATAGATGCAAGAACAATATATAAGTGTGTGTGTGTCTGTGTGTGTATAAGATGTTTGCTTGTAACTGTGGAACTGTTTGAGAGGAATGAAAAGAGAAAGAGGGTGAACAGTACTGAATTACATTCCATCTATGGTAAAGATGGCAAATAAAACTCTCATTGAAAGCTGTTGAATAAAAGGAAATAGTAGGAAGAGCAAATGAGGGAGTGAATCGGATTTTATACCTGTACATGCGTGTGTGAATCTTCTTTGGTGAAATTCCTTTGAACAATCAGCAAGGACAATTAGTGGGAAGGGGAGGGGAAACAAAATGAACGAAAGAGGGCAAATCTCATCATAATTCTTTCCGTACACTTGTGACAATTGGATGAGGGAGCTTGTTGACATTGGTTTAGAATTGGAGAATGGTGCTGAGGAAAAGTAATAGGAAGGATGAATCTAATCAAGGTACATTAGATACATTTTATAAACATGTCAAAATGAAACCTACCTGTACAAGTTAATTGATGTTAACTTAAGAAATGTGGAACAAGTTTCTGACTTGTCCAGTTTCTGACTCACCATTGACTAGAAAGGAAATGGATGGAGTCCTTGCTGATGTTTATGTGTTTGTTCATAGATGTCTTTGTTGATGGTATTTGCTGTACTTCACCTAGGGCTCAGTCAGCCCTATTCCCTCCCCAGGGGGGTTTATTTACTTTCTACGTTTTTAAAACTGCTTTATGCTGAGGTCCCGTCTTTACATTGGTATGTCTCTCTCTTACTTAGCTGACACCCTCAACCAAATGTCTAATAAGCATTGAGATGATATGTATTT